AAGGACATCCTAAAAATTATTTATGTGATCAAGGATAGACTGCCTTCCTTGTATTTAAAGGTCATCAATTGCTTTAGTAGGAATAATTTGTTGTTCCCGGTTTTTGAAGCATAAAGAGTCTCTAGCTTTTCCCACAATGATCTCGCATGTGTCTCGTTCACAATATGGTTGCGAACATTATCTTCAACCCATTATCGTATATATCCACATACTTGTTAGTGCTCGAAATCCCAATCTTCATCAAATATACTCTCGGGTTTATGAGCTGCAAAAATGGGTAGATGCATCTTCTTCACGAACAACAAATCTTTCATCTTGCTTCTCCAAACATTATAATTTCTCCCATTTAAACATACCATCTTGCTCATATTCGCCTCCATTCTGTAACAACCCGGATAAATAACCAAGGCTCTGATACCACTGTTAGGATCGAAAAAATCAGGTGTCATGCGGAACCTAGTAAAACAACACTTGCATGACGATAAATCAGATAACAAAAGAGAAATATATCAAAATAGGCACAAACATTTAACATGGTTCGGTCAATTGACCTACATCTATAGATGGGGATGAGCAATCCACTATATAAAAAGAGAGTACAAAATATCGAGAGAACAACCTCATGAAGAGGCAAACACAAGTGACGCGCTAACACTTGTCCCGTAAAATTCTCCCCCTAAACACGACTCTCAAACCCCATATGGCTACATTGTGGATGCTACTGACTGAGAAGGAATGATCCTCAATTCATAGAAGTCCAAATCTTTTCCTACAAGAAAAGGGACTAGCCAAATACGGAAAATTTATAATTTTCTTCTACATGAAGGAAAACTCAATTATGGTAAACATGTTGTCCTTTCTTTCATCCTTCAAGAGATAAGAAAACCAAATACGATAAGAAAATTAGGACAACACCTAGCAAAAGTTCCCTTATAAGGAAGATTATTATTTACTTCAGATACTATTTTTTAGAAAGAAAAGAAAAAATAAACCATTTATTCATGAAAAAGTATTTCAAAGAAGAGGGGAAATATGCTACGGAGAAGGAGAACGATGTAAAGTGAAATATACATTCAGCATTCACTTGTGGTTTTAGATATCATGTCAAAGCTGGAATGTAGAAGTTCTATATTTGCATTTTACGTCACACGTTAACAAGAAAATATTTCACTTGTTTGGTTAAAAAAATCAAGCCTACACATGAAAAGATTTTTAGATCATGAATAAAACTCCTATAATTTAAAAATTTCCCGACTTTTTAAAATGCTTAATTTTCTCTTGCTGCATACTTTGAAGCAGGGCTGCTCTAATGTTATATCATCAGTAAAGCTTGTGTCTTAGGTCCCAAATTTGGGGAGATCCATTATTTAGAAATAATAGGTTTATAGGTATTTAAAAAATAATATTTAGTACTTTTTATACAAAAGCAAAGTTTTCCTAAAACAGTTCCCTAAAAAAAAAGAAGTTTTTAAAGATTATAATTAATAAAATCTTACTTAAGATCAACAATATCTCAAGAAAGATAAAATGGGTTGGCTATGTTATCAATTGAAAAGGAATTATTAGAGGAAGTCGATTATAAGAAAATTATTAATGACTTTACATCTCAAAAAACTAAAAAAATAGAGTTCAAATAAAAATATATATCATAACTTTCTTTTAAAAATTTAGGTCTCACATTAAACTTTAGTTTTAGGTCACACATATGATTGAGCCGCCCTGCTCTGAACTGCTTCTCCCTGGTGATCAAGGAGCGAGGTAGCTCGTGCTCCCCAGCATATCTTTGATTCCGAAGAGCGAAAGTCCTTCCACATGCAACTTTCGAACCATTATAGTTTGTACAATTACACTTAAAATTCAAAATCTTAAGAGCCCGTTTGGCCATGAAAAGTGTTTTACTTTTTTTTTGAAATCAGTGTTTGGCCATTAAATTTTCACTTAAAGATGAATTTTGAGATCTTTCAAAAATTTGAAAAATTCCAAAAAAATTATTTTTCAAAATTTTTACTCAGATCACTCGCAAAAATTCAAACATAATATAAAATTATATTCATTTCCAAACACAACTTTAATTTTCATATGTCATTTTTTCACTTGAAAAAAAACTTCACTTTTTTTCGAAATTTTACACTTCTTTTGTCCAAACGCCCACTTAATTTGTCTTTGTGAGGTTAATCTCCTTATTCCTTAATGCACTTTTCTTTCAAAACAAAAGGAAGGGTTCAATTTAGGCTCTTCCTTACTGTTTTTTTTTTTTTTTTCCCTTTCTTTTTTGTAGAAGGGCGCTGAGATATATGTTTCTTATTTGGGAGTTGGGATTTGGCAAGACCATCAAAATTTCCAATTTCATTAGGTATCTCTCTTTAGATGATTGGTTCTTTTTAATGACCCTAGCATTATTATAGCTGCTTAAAGTACCAATAATTGAAGGGAAAGTGCATTGTCTAAATGTCAGCATTCACCATCTACAGTTGCATGTCACTCCAAACTTCACTTGTTCTTTTGTCTTTTAGTTTAAAGAAAGCCGCTTTTATTATTTCCTCCGATTCATAATAATAAGTGACCAATTTATTTTTTTGTTTTGATTCAAAATAAGTGTCCAGTTATGTAATCAAGAAAAAATTCAATTTGTTTTTACAAAATAACTCTTATGTATATATCCTTAAAAAGTTTTCTTACTCCTCACATTAAATGTTTAATTAGGGATAGTTTAGTCATAATATATATTTTTTGTATAGAATTTAGTATTTTCTTAATGAGCGTGTTAAAAGCAAATTGATTACTTATTGTGAACCGGAGGGAGTACGATATATGAATTTGTAGATGTACACTTAATATATATATCAAACCAATAAATAAATAAGTAAATTTGCATACATACAGTTATACCTTAATCATAGTAATTGATGTATTTTTTTGATTTGTTTCTTAACTATTAAAATTAAAGTATTAATTTAATAAATTTCCCCTTTATCATATAAAGACATAACTGTCACACGCCTTTATCACTCCCACAAGCAACTCTCATCTTTTCTGAGGATAACTCCTACTTAGCGTGCTGATGTATCTAATGTTTTTTATCTTTAATTAGATGCCAATTATATGCAGCTATGCAACTTGGTATCTAAAACCAATATCCTTTCCTCAAAATGATATGCGACCAATCATTAAATTAATCAAACACCAGAAGAATTTTGCATAAACAAAATAAACTCAACACAAGATCCAAATGGATTTGTAGAATATAAATTTAATAATTAACAATGATTAAATTTGAAAATCTTTCGTTCGGCGCCGCGCTACTTCTAAAACTAGTGCTTCCAGATAAACTAATAGCCTGTTTCGCCAAACTTATTTTTGGCCAAGCTTCTGGAATGAAAAAAGTGCTTTTGAGGAGAAGCAGAAATAGTTTTGGAGAAACGGAAAAAAGTAATTTCTCTGCAAAAACACTTTTTTGAAAAGTACTTTTGAGAAAAATACACTTAGAAGCAGTTTTTTAAAGCTTAGCCAAACACTAATGGCTGCTCAGAAGTACTTTTCAAACTAATTAGTTAAACACAAACTTTTTCTCACAAAAAGTACTTTTGAGAAAAGTACTTTTGAAAAAAACACTTCTCAAAATAAGCTGATTTTTGCAGCTTGCCCAAACGAGCTATAAATATGTTTCGAGAAGCCCCACGAATGTCAAATATAAAGTCATGAATCTCATTAAGTTCATATTGGCATACTCTCCCTGATAAAAAATAGAAGAAAGGGATTTTTTTTTTCTTGCAAGGGAAGGGAAATTAGGATATGGAATCTTAAGACTTCCTGAAAATCAAAGACAAACAAGAATTTCTATTGCTAGATTTTAATTTTAAAAAAAAGTGTATTCTAATCGAGCTTATCCGAAAATAGATTAATAGGGTGTGTTGCGAGCCTGCGACAAATATATTTATTTGACTCAAAAGATATTAAAACCTTTTTAAAACAAATCAATCAAAAATGAAGGGGTAAATCTTAGTCAAACATAATTAATTCCAGATAAAAAATTTAACAATAATGATTGCATATGGGATGAGGAAGTAGATTTATATATTTTCTTCGAGGTCATTTCCTCTTTTTCTAGAATACCAGAAGGGAGCTTTTTATCTTCTTTTTTTAGAAATCGGAGAAGCCCCCCAGTTGAGATCTTTCTCTGGCTATATATAATCAGGGTATCTTTGCTCTTTGCTTGACTCGACATCTTCTTGCCACTGATGTGTCTTGGTCATGATTTTAGGCGTCACTCTTACCGATTCGTCGGATATCATAAAGGAGAAATGGAGTGGACTCTGTTGACATTCGTTGTTCAGTTGCTGAGACGGGATGTCGTTCAACTTGGTCGAGATGGTCAGATTTGACCAATACAATATTGAAATCCATCCTAATTCAAGACGGGCTCACTTGTCAGACTGATATTTTGAGTTTGGCAATCATAAATGATTAACACTTCTAGTAATGTATGTTGATCTTGCCTAGGTTTAATTACAAATTGTAGTAATTACGGAGCATGTTTGATTCGAAAAACTTTTGCAAGTTGAAAATATATGGGCGTTTGGACATAAGAATTGTAAAATTCCGAAAAAAATAAAAAAAATTCAAGTGAAAATGATATTTGAAAATTAGAATTGTGTTTGTGCATGAATATAATTTGGGTTATTTTTGAATTTTTGTAAGTGATCTGAGTGAATTTAAAAAAATATTTTTTTTGAGTTTTTCAAATTTTTAAAAAATTCCAAAATTTATTTTTAAGTAAAAATTAAATTTTTTTTAATCAAATACTGATTTTGGGGAAAAGTAAAAAAAATTTCATGCCCAAACGGGCTCATAGTATGACTCGGAAAAATTCAAAAGATTCTTGTTGATAAATAGGTCATGGTCAGAAAATGAGTTATGCAACTTCTAAGAGGAGAGAAAATGACATTTGAGGTGGACCTAAAGAATATAAAAAGAGAATAAAGATTACAACTTTCAATATAATCTTAGCTACAAAAACAGTTTAACTCTGGTCCTTAAACTGTTAGTGGAAACCACTATATATGCGTATTAGACACACATTCCTATGATTAATTATTTATATTTGCTACCAGATTTTCAGGTAGAGCTCATGTCCGCCACGCGTAGTATTCGATAATTTTGGTGTCAACACGCACAAAATCAAAGACTCAGAAGAAGAGAGAAAAAATGGCAAACAGTAATGGAAGAATTAGAGAGTCAGTTTTTTACAAAGAAGTGTTACCATTTGCAGCTATGGTGTGTATGGAATGTATAAATGTTGGATTAAACACACTTTACAAAGCTGCTACTAACAAAGGCATGAGTAATCATGTCTTTGTTGTTTACAGTTATGGTCTTGCTGCTGTTCTCCTTCTTCCTTCTCCCTTTTTCTCTACCAGGTTTCTGTTTTCACTCTATGTTTTTTTTCTGTTTTTGATCAATTGTTGTATGTGTAAATCTTATCAAGAATCTGATGGGGGTTGTAAAATTGGAATCATCTGATTGCAGATCAAGACTACTTCCACCCCTCAACTGTTCAATTCTTGCCAAAATCTTTCTTCTTGGAGTTATCGGGTAACATTTGATTTTTTTTTTTTCATTCTTATTGGGTCATTCTGCTGCAGATGTAAAGCCAAAAAGATTTTTTCTTTTCCTGCAAATCAGGATTGATAATCAGATGTTTATACTGTTATTTATAAGGAAATCGATTGAATTCAATCGTTAAGTCTGATTCAGGGGTCTAATTAGTGCTGAACCAATACAAAGAAATCAAATAGTCGACCCGAATAATAGCCTGTTTGGCCAAACTTTTTTGAAAAAAAAAAAGAAGTGCTTTTGGGATAAGCAGAAGCAGTTTTGAAAAAGCAGAAAAAAATAGCGTTCTCGTTGATTGACTAATTGAGTACTCCTAGATATTAGTGTACTCCCGATATGTTTCAAAGTAGACGAGTTACTTTTACTTTGAGTAAGTTCCAAAATAAATGATACATTTTTTAATTGGAAATAATTTAATTTTAAACTCTTCATTTTATCCATTTTAACCTTAATGAGAAGCTTTTAACACTTATGCTTTTAAGACCACAAGTTTCAAAAGTTTTTTTTCAAACTACATGCCAAATCAAACTACCTCATCTAAGTTGGAACGGATGGAGTAATTCTCATTCAGATGTAGAAATTTATTAGGGTTCTAAGCAACAAGAATTCTTTAAAGGTTGCTCCTTTTTTGCCCCCTCATTCTTGTGTGTTTCTCTGAGCCGAGGTATATTGGAAACAACCTCTTTATTCTCATAAGGTAGGAGTAACGTGTGTATACACACTATCCTCAGTGGCAGAGCCACCTTATAGGAAGGGGTGTTAAGTGACACCCATTTGCGGGAAAAATATACTTTGTAGGTAGGTAAAATAAATAAATTATATGTATATATACTATGTATTGACTCCTCTTAATTTTCTGGTATGTTTACTTTTATATATTTTGACACCCCTTAACGAAAATTTTGGCTCCGCTACTGCTCAGACCTCACGGTATAGGATAATATTGAGTATATTGTTGTTTCATTCTTGTGTGTTCCATTATTAGTAAATTATTTTGGACACTCAGTAACACTTTTTCTTTTCCTTTCCCAAAAAATATACACTTACTTTTAAAATATTTACTTTTTTTTAAAACATTAGATTATTATTTACCATTTGTAACATACTCTTAGGAGTTAATAAGTTGTAATTCTACCTGTGATATGTTCCAACATATATTTCATTTCTATATTACTTGTCCAGTCAAATACCGACAACTATAGTGGCTAATTGAAAGCGCAGGTGTACATCACAGATAATGGGGTATACAGGAATTAATTATAGCTCTCCTACACTTGCCTCCGCCATCAGCAATCTCGTCCCTGCTTTTACTTTTGTCTTGGCTGTCATTTTCAGGTTTTTGCTTCTTCTTTTTATCTCATGATGTCCTTTAATGACAGTAGCTTTGTGTTCTCTTTCCTATTTGTCCAGTGGTGAACAACTTTGTCTGCATCCATCAATTTTCCCCAACCGAATAAAATAGTTAAAACAAAGAATCCACTAGACCAAAATTATAAATATCTAATTTAAGCTAGCGTTGGCCATAGATTCCTAAACTTATTTTGAAAAATTCAATTTTGGTGAAGTTTGATTTGAAGATGAAAATGTGCTCAGACATACTTTTCAAAACATATTTTCCAAGTTTATTTTGAAAAAAGATATATATTATTAGTGTTTGTAAAGATTTTGGCCCAAAACCAGCTTGGGATTTGGAATTTTACCAAAATATAGGCAAAATCTATGGTCAAACATGTGTTTGCCAAATAAAACCCAAGTTTATTTTGGCAAAATCTATGGCCAAACGGGTCCTAAGTTGTAGTCTAAACCGGTTTGGCCACGAAATTGTTTTCACTTTTTTCGATAAAATTTCACTTTTTTTTCGAAATTAATGATGGGTCATAAAATTTCCAATTTTCACTTGAAGATAAATTTTGAAATTTTTTAAAAATTTGAAAAATTCTACAAAGCTATTTTTCAAAATTTTCACTCAGATCACTCACAACAATTCAAAAACAAAATAAAATTATATTCATGTCCAAACGCAACTAATTTTCAAATACCATTTTTATTTGAAAAAAAAATTCACTTTCTTTTTTAAATTTTACAATTCTTATGTCCAAACGCCCCCTAAAGATTTGCAACCTTATGCTGTACTCAAGTGACTGTTTGAATATCCTATTGAATCCCCTTGACATAAGAAAATTAGATACAATTTACAAAGATGGGGGATTCATGATATCCAATTCGAGAGATATTTGAGTTTAGAAAAATGAAAATCAAGTTTTTTTAACATGGCAAATTATTTCATCAGCTTTCTGGTTTTTATTTTTTAGAAGAAGAAATTTGATGAAGTGGAAGTGTTAATAAACAGGATGGAAAAGATAGAATTAAAAAGATCAAGTACTCGAGCCAAAGTCTTGGGCACGGTGGTTTCCATCGCTGGAGCATTCGTAGTGACTCTCTACAAAGGCCCAAAATTATTGGTGGCTATCACGTCCACGCCCAATTTACTATATCAACCTCTCAGTTCGTCCCAATCGAATTGGATGCTTGGCGGCCTTTTCCTCACAACTGAATATTTTTTGGTTCCTATGTGGTACATTGTTCAGGTGAAATGCAGACTTAGTCCCTGAATAGAGATGTTCTCTTTTCCAACAAAACAAATTAGCTGATTTTGAGTCAATTTATTTGATGACAGACATGGATTATGAAAGAGTATCCAGCTGAAGTGACTGTAGTTTTCTTCTACAACTTGTGTGTGTGCTGCCTAGCTGCTATTGTAGGCTTTTTCACTGAACCTGACTCTAGCAAATGGCGAATTAAACCAGATATTGCGCTGGCCTCCATCCTATGCTCTGTAAGTGAATCGAGAAATAGGTTTGATTAGACATCTTTGTAATATATATATGACATGGCCAATCATTTGATGTGAAGCGCCTACCACGCCACTTTCCCCGGATATCTTTTAGATACATGGGTCGGGCCAAATTTGGATGAGTTAAAACAGTAAAATGGGCAATGGAAACTCATCAAAGCTGGATCAAAATGAGTAAAATAATGGGTCATAACTCAATCTGTCTAACATGACCCTACGTCTCTCTTTAATCTTTTTTAGCTTTTTTAAAAATTGTGAAAGTCAATGTATTTTTTCGTATATTATTAGCTTAAATTCTTCGAAATTTACATAGTCTCCAATCTCCAAATTTGCTTTTGTGTTTTTGGGTTTTGGTTGCATTTTGACTCGTCAAGTTACACTATTTTGATCCAACAGTTTGATGTGTCCTTTTGAATTGAACTCTTTGAGTCAAGTCAACAATTGGTTGCATTATGAGTTGATTTTGCTAGCTCCTTTCTTGTGTGACAAAATGATGTGTGCTGCATTACACAGGGAATTTTGGGCTCATCCCTAAACAATACAATTCACACCTGGGCTTTGCGCGTCAAAGGACCAGTGTATGTAGCAATGTTCAAGCCACTGTCCATTGCCATTGCAGTTGCCATGGGAGTCATTATCCTAGGAGATACTCTTTATTTGGGAAGGTACTAACTCCTCAACACATTTATTTTCTTTCACAATATATGTCATCGTCGATCTAATATACTACTTTCTGCTTTGACAATTAGCGTCCTGGGAGCGACTGTAATTGCCATTGGATTCTATACTGTAATGTGGGGAAAGGCAAAAGAGATGCCTGAATATGACGGTTCTAGTGATGATCTCGAGTCGTCTTCAGCTCAAAAGTTCCCCTTGTTACACAATTACAAAAATGAAGTCATCTCAAACAAGTAAACATGTTAGATGTTCTTGTGAAGTCATCAAACAGAAATGCAAGTTACACAAAAAGAGCGTTGTTGCTGTAAAGCAAGAAAGAAGCTATGTTTCTTACACAAGGGTAGCAGTTGTATAGGAAGAAACAAAAGGTTTCTGTGGGGAAAAACAATGCAGCAAACTGTTGGCATATATCCTCGTTTTGTACAGCTCTTCTGAAACAGTTTGCTCAACTTGTATCTCAGGAATGAACTAAAGCCTATTGTAGTACAGTAACTGAGCAAAAATGTATCAGGTATATAATCAAGGCATTGCTAATTAATCAAAATTAAGCAGGATGTGTGCATCCTTTCTGTACTTCAACAGGCTCTAATGTACTTCTTTATACTAAGAAAGATTGTTAAACCTCAATGATTCTGCTTATGTTCTATAATTCATTTCCAGAATTCCCGGAATTAATTGCAACATCGGTCTACAGAGTGCTCTCAAATTAAACACTAAAACTTGTCAGGATATGGTTGCTAGAGGTGGTAGAATCAACTCAATTTTTGGTAACTTGTCTAATTTGCTCAAGTTTAAATGGACTGGACTCATTTGTTGACTTGATCCAATTGGTCAGATGGGTCAAAATAGTGTATCCGGCGGGTCAAAAGTGCAACCCAAACCCGACATATACAAAATGAACTTGGAGATTGGGAATTAAGGGTATGTTTGAAAAGCCACTAGGTAATTGGAATTGGTGTAATTATTAGGATGGTAATTACACAACCTAGTAACACTCAGTTGTGTAATTACAACTATCTGTTTGTTTGTCATAGTGTAATTGCAGTGTAATTATAAATTTATTGTTTGATTGCACAAGTGTAATTACACAGTTAAATTACATTTTAAATTAAGTAACTATCAAAATTTAAAAGTTAATATAATAAATATATGTCTATAAATTTTTATAAGTATAAATGATAGTATATTTGGTGATTAAGATGTATATTTTTTTGTGAATATACATTAATTAGTAATTATATATTTAAAATTAATATTGTAAAAATAATTTATATATTTTTTCTAAATTAATAATATTTAGTTTAGATACTTACAAAAATTAAAAACATACTGTGACGACCCTCCCAGTCGTCTCATGAGTTATCGCTCCGTTTTCCCCATTTCTGCTTCTTATTGCTTTGTATAATGGTTCTATATGTGATGGGGTTGATTGGTTAGGGTTCTGAAAGGATTTGGTAAGGTTTGAGATACTTGGTCTCTTTTGAGGAAAGTTAAGTTGGAAAAGTCAAATGGATGTTGACTTATGTGTTAGAGGGCTCGAATGTGAGTTCCGATGATTCGGTTAGCTTCGGGAGGTGATTTGAGACTTAGGAGCGTGATCGGAATGAGTTTTGGAGGTCCAGAGTAGATTTAGGCTTGAATTGGCGAAATTGGATTTTTGGCGTTTTCCGGTTGGTAGGTGAGATTTTGATATAGGGGTCGGAATGGGATTCCGAGAGTTGTAGTAGTTTCGTTGTGTCATTTGGGATGTGTGTGCAAAATTTCAGGCCATTCGGACGTGGTTTGGTTGAGTTTTTCATCAAAAGGGGAATTCAGAAGATTTTGGAAACTTAGGCTTGAATCCGATGTGTTTTGGTTGATTTGATGTTGTTTGAGTGTTTTGAAGATTGACACAAGTATGAATACGATTTTGGGATATATTGGTGCCTTTGGTTGAGGTCCCGGGGGCCTCGGGTGAGTTCCAGAGGGTTGAACGGATCATTTTAAGTTAAAGAAAAGTTGCAGATTTTGGTTTCAGCTGTTGCAAAGTTTTTCCTCTTCGCGATCGCGTAGGGGGTTTCGCGATCGTGTAGAGCTGTTGTGGGGGCAGTCCAGTTTGCTCAGTGCGTTCGCGAAGCTGGGGATGCGATCGCATATAGTGGAAGTATTGTTGATCGCGAACGCGTGGAAAAGGTCGCGTTCGCGTAGAGTTAAGTGGACCAGGGGTCTTGGCTTGGAGTTTGTTCTTTGCAAACGCAGTAGCCAGTCCGCGATCACGTAGTGTAAGATGCCTGAGCATTGCGTTCACGTGGGATTGTACGCGTTCGCATAGGGTTAATTTTGGGTGCTGAGAATTTGTGTTTCGCGATCGCGAAGGATGTCCCGCGATCGCGATAAAGGATTTCAGGCCTGGACAGAAGGTTTAAATAGTCGTCTTGTCCGCGAATTAGGGGTTTATTTCTTCCATTGTTGGTCGTTTTTAGAGCTTTTTGAAGGGGATTAAAGAGGGATTCAAGTGGAATCACTTGGAGGTAAGAATTTTAGACTTAAAACTCGATTATAATGTGAAATCTACCTAATAAATCATGGAATCTAAGCCTAAAATTTAGGAATTAGGGCTTGAGATTAAGAGACTTTAAAATGAGAACTTGAGGAGTCATTTGGACTCCGATTTTAGTGTTCTTGGTATGTATGGGCTCATGGGAGGATAAGGATTCCGTTGATGTGATTTCTATCGAGTTTCGAGACGTGGGCCCGGGGGTCGGGTTTTGCCAATTTCGGGATTTTTGGTATTATTTGATTGTTTTCGCTTGGGCTTCGTTCCCATAGCATATTTTGACGCCGTGATTCTGATTTTGGATAGATTCGACGCGAGTGCAGGCCGATTCGAGGGGCAAAGGTGTCGCGGAGTAGTATTTTCACCGGTTTGAGGGAAGTAACCATTGTAAATCTGGAACTGAGGGTACAAAACCCCGGTATTTGACTTGTTTTGATAAATGCGGTGACACACATGCTAGGTGACGAGCGTGTGAGCGTGCACTGGTAGGGATTGTGACTTGGTCTGTCCCGTAGCGACCGTTAAGCCGCGTATTTGATTTGGAACCTTATGATTCGTACTTTAGTCATTTATACTATATTATGGGTTGCATGCCATGTTTGGGGCCTTGTGCCGACCTGTTGAGACCCTTAGGGATATTTTTACTGTTTTTCCTCACTCTACTTATTGAAAGCATATCCTCACTCATGTTTACCTGCTTAAATGCTTAAAACTGGTTTTATCACTCTACTTCTAAATGTGAGGACTGTTTGGACTGAGTTCCCTAATTTCTACTATTGTGCCTGAGAGGTTGTGAGGTTAATGACTAAGAGAGGTTGAGAACCTAATGGTGAGGGTATTTATATATATATATATGAGTTATAGATTGGTCTGCACGCCGCAGCGATACTTATATGGATTGAGCGGCACGCCGCAGGGATATATATATTTCATTGAGCTGCGCGCCGAAGCGATATGACTCTTGGGTTGTAGGAGCTTCTTCGGAGTCTGTACACCCTCAGTGAGCGTAGTCGATTATAAACTATGGATCGGGCTGCACGTCGCAGCGGTTGCTATGATTTCTGTTATTATGAGATATTAATGAGCCTAAGTGCTGAGAGTGAGTACTCAGTGACGAGAGTTGAGTCATGAGTGACTGAGTGGCTGCCCGAGAGGCCATATTCTGAGTGATACATTGACCGAGGGCCCAGTTATGATATTTACACTGATTTCACTCTTTTTTTAAAATAAGCCTCTATTGGAAAAAATTGCTAAGTATATAATTTCAAGTATTTAAACTGAAATTGATGATTTTACGATGAAACTGGTTTTAAACTATTAAATTTGATCTGTTATTCTTCTGTCTATTCATTTATATGATTTTTAACTGCTCGTCACTGCTTTCAGACCTTATTTACTATAGTTACTTACTGAGTTGGCGTACTCACGTTACTCCCTGCACCTTGTGTGCAGATCCTGGTGCCCGAGCGGCAGAGTGAGGGTCCTCAACTGATCCAGAGTTTGACGGAGATTTCAAGGTAGCTGCATGGCGTCCGCAGCCCTGTTTTCTCCTTCCTATATTTTTCTTTTCCGCATTTTCTAGACTTATGATGTATTAGACAGTCAGTCATGTATTAGAGGCTCTAGATTCGTGACACCAGATATTTGGGGCTGTGTAGTTTCATGTTTATTTGACTTTCGCATATATTCTGTTGTTTTAAACTCTTATTATGAAAATTTGGTATTTAAACGTGTGTTAGAAAATGGCTTATTATAAGGAAAAAGATTGTGATTAAATGTTTAGATTGACTTGCCTAGTAATGTGATAGGCGCCATTACGACTGGTATTTTGGGGTCGTGACAAATTGGTATCAGAGCCTAGGTTACATAGGTCTCGCGAGTCATGAGCTGGTTTAGTAGAGTCTCACGGATCAGTACGGAGACGTCTGTATTCATCCTCGAAAGGCTGCAGAATCTTTAGGAAAAACTTCATATTCTTGAAATTCTTGTCGTGCAAATCTGTTGATCCGAGTACTAAACTTCTGTTATTCCATTATCTCACAGATGGTGAGGACACGTGCTACCGGGCAGGATGGACGACCACCAGTACCACTAGTTGGGGACACCAGAGGCCGTGGTAGGGACAGAGCAGCTAGGGCAGCACCTGCAAATCCACCAGCTGCCCCAATTCAGGATCAGGTCCCAGTTGTGGACGCTACAGCAGCACCAGCTCAGGCACAGTGATCCCAGGCCTTCAGTAGGCTTTAACTCTGATCTTATCAGTGTATACCGTTTGGCTCTGGAGGTTTCAGTTACTGCGGCCGCAGCTACTTCTCAGGCCGAGTGAGGCACCCAGACTCCCGTTGCTCGCACACCTGAGCAGTTTTTGCATAGACTCCAGACACCAGGGGCACCTCCAGCCCAGCCGGTTGTACCAGCTCAGGAGTTTGTGGTACCAGTTATGCCGGACGACGAGCAACGTCGACTAGAGAGGTTTGATAGACTCTAGTCTCCGACTTTCAGCAGTGCAGAGGGCGAGGATGCCTAGGGTTTCTTAGATAAATGCCAGAGGATTCTTCGTGCAGCGGGGATTCTAGAGACCAGTGGTGTAGCTTTTACCACTTTTCAGTTTTCTAGGGCTGCCTTCACTTGGTGGGAGGCGTATGAGAGGCGTAGGCCTGTTGGTGCAGCGCCCCTTACCTGGCAGCAGTTCTCTGTTCTCTTTCTGGAGAAGTATGTGCCACAGTCTCACCGAGAGGAGCTGCGCATGCAGTTTGAGCAGTTGTGTCAGGGAGAGATGACTGTGATGCAGTATGAGATGCGGTTCTTTGAGTTAGCCCATCATGCGGTTTGGTTGGTTCCCAGAGATCGAGAGAGGATTAGGAGGTTTGTTGATGGCCTCACATATCAGCTTCAGATTCTCATGACTAGGGAGAGGGTGACA